TTTTAAGACTTGAAAGTACAGCAACATTTTCTAGAATGGTAATGCAAACTAATCTCCATGAATATTTTGTTTCAAATTTACCAGTAATACATTAACTAAACTAGGAGCGTAGTCCTACAGGTTTTTACTGTGCTGCTGTCCTTGGGAAAGCTTTCAGTCTGCGCTGCATCACAGTGATTCAAGAAAACATTAAATATAAGAGGCTAAGAAATGGTTTTGCTATTCTTTCCTTGTGCTGCTACCTACTTTCTATCAAATTGGTTGTTTAGCATAATCAAGTCAAACGGAAATTATAATTGATTGCAGTTGTTACTTAAAGCTACTGCTTCAGTTTCAGACTAAGGGAGAACTTGTGGGGACAAAACCTGTCTGCTTCTCCCAGCAATATCAGTTGGTCTAGTTTAAATAAATACATTTTTGCACAGATTATATGGTGGCAAAAACATATATATTAAATGAGACAATCTTTCAGCTGTAATGACACTAATGTGTTCTAATACAGTAGCAGACCATTTAGTTTAATCTCACTGAGATGAAGGAAATGCCCATTACAGATAGTTTTTTCAATTACATGATCATTTCCTTTTGTGGATAACCACACTCAAAAAATCCCTTATTCTCAGCGGTCAGAAGACTTGGCACATTCTCACAGGCAGTCCACTCTCTCTGAGCCGACATCTCATGCTAGGCTTGGGAAAAGAAGACTCCACATCTGCTGTACTTTTTTCTTCCACACGCTGTGCTTCTATAACGTTGTCTCTAAGTTTCTTCCAAAAATTGATATTCATGGTAGCCAGTGAGGAAAGCAAGGCCAAAGTACACTAGAGTAAGCATTACGGTATTGTCTTAGAGATCACCAGCTTTAGATCATTCAGTGAAGATGATGCCTTTGTCACAAAGTGCTGTTGAAGCTTGCTGAAAACAAATGTGCAGTCAGAAATATGTAGGAGTTAGTCAAGTATTAGTTTTGTCAGTTTTCCCCACAGATTTAATCACATAATTGTGAGACTGCTATTATCTTGATTAGGTTTCCATAATAATGAGTGTTGCTCTTCTCTTTGGTCTTTAAACACAGCTTTGCTAGTCAAGGATTTGAAAAACAAAATTAAAGAAAAAATCCTGAAAATACTAGGCATCTGACTATGAGGTGCTACACTGTTGGGACACCACTTGACTTGCAAAAAAGTAGAAGGCGATCTTCTATAAATGCAAAAGGAGTTTGATGACACTAGTAAAATTAGAAATATGTTCTTCCCTCATGATGTTATAGTAATGTGAGTAAAAAAGCATAGCTTGTTTGACTGATAGGGGTATGATGGTATAATACCATTTTGTTAAGCAAAACAGCGTTTGGGTCAGGGTGTAACCACAGTGATGGAATTAGTTAATCATAAAGCACGAACAATACTGCTATGTCCCTTGTACAGCCCTGCCCATCTGGACATTAGGTCTGGGAACAGAGGGTTTAGTCCCTAGGTAATCATTAACGTTAAACAATAATGGTGAAGGGGATTTTTTTAGAAATAGTGCTATTAAATGACTGCAAGTGTATTTGTGGTACCTATCTATTGTGTGAATTAACTGAAGCAAAAAGTCATACATCTCCCCCCTAAAGAAGGTAGTTTCAATTGAAATGAGCAGGTGCCTAGAACTGGTCAAGACGACCCGTGCCGCAGGGACAAGAGCCAGAAGAGGACTGAGTTTGCGCAGAAACTGTGATGAAGAGGATGAGCCTTCATCTTGGGACCCCCGATGACCACCAGTAGGAGGCACTGCGCAAGCGTGGGTGGGAGGAGTGTATGAAAATGGACTGATTTGACTATGAAAGAAAGGGCTTATGTAATCAGATGAATATGTATATTTTGATCTATATAAACTGCACGGAAAGGGTATCGGTGGATGAAGTCATGATCAGAATTAAAGCCTCAGTTATCATGACTCCAGTTACTCCAGCTATGGTGTTTAGTACCTCTCCTGTTGTGTTCTAGAATGAGAATACAGTATTAGTATTAGCATTTGCATTTGCATTTACATTAGTATTATTAGTTGTTTTTGTAGTTGTTATTTTTATTACTTCTTCTGTTGCTGTTACTATTGTTACTGTTTTTGCTATTATGTATGAATCCAAAACTGAAGATACATTTTCAGCATCGGAGCAAAAGGAGAACAAGACATGGAGTCAAGGCAAGCCTCCATTTTCCAGCAGAAGAGCATGGAAAAACATCCCTCCCTTCTATTCCCACTCAGGCTTATCCCAGGCAGATGTGTAAATGTTTGCTGCAACTTATTGTTTCAGGAATCAAAATGAGGAAATTTGTGTCATTAGTATTTTTATCTATTTTGCTTATGTAAAATTGTCTCAGAAAAAAAAGAAAAATTTTTAGAGAAGCGGGAAACCTAGAACTGTAATAAGCAAAACAGCACTAGAAAGCAACTTACTCATATGAGGGTGATAAAGTGACGTGCTAGGATACCTGCAACCATAAAGGTGTGTGGCCCTGGTGCTTATTTTACTTCAAAGTTTGTGGGGTTTCAGCAGATCTGAAGTGGTGTATCAAATGAGTGGCTCTCATATACCTAAACAGCCCATCTCCTTTACCTGTTTTCTACATTTACCTGAAGATATATTGGATAATACCTGGGTTTATTTTTTAAAAGACATATTTATATTTACGTTTTTTTATGCTTATCGGTGATGAAACATGAATATACTGGGCTTCAACATGTTCTTTCTTGTTCATGACTCACAGACATCAGTGCAGATCTGTTACATCTGTCTAAACTCACCAAAATAAACTGAAGTGAGAATGAAGATGTATTTTGAACACAACAGTCAGATGCTGATCTCAATTATAAAGTGCAAATTGTGAAGAATAGCAGTAAAAATCTCACATGCAAGATGAGACTCAAGCTAAATATGCCAGCAGAGTGTAAATGAAGTCCTCATTTGGCCTGCAAAAGCATATATATCTGTTTTCCTGGTGCTGATGCACAGGAATGAAGGCGCTCAGCACGCCTTCTGGATCCTGTGTTGGTTCTACAGCTTAATACACTAGGAGAAAAAAAATCCTCTGTTGTGCTTGTAAAGTGCACTCATATGATATGGAAATCCTTGAGGTGATAAAATTCCACAATGCCATTTTTGCAGTCACTTTTTACAGTAGAATCATTCTTTCAAATGTTCACACTTGACAGCACACAGTACATTTTCAAATTGGTGCCTGTGAAGACTGTGTTCAGATCCTATTACATATTAACAGGATTGATCTATGTGATATTTTGAACATTTCCATCACAGTGGCTAGTCTGAATGTTGAGATGAAACATGGAAAAATGTCAAAGACACTTAGTGCATTGCTGCTGCAGGGGTAGGACGGAACTGAAAAAAATGCCTGAATTGTTGTTCTCAGAACTTTCTTCTCTGAAGTTAGAAGCAATATTTTATTTGCTTTCCTTCATAATTTATTAATTCTGAGTGTAGCTACTGACACACGAGTGGACAAAAAAAGAAATATATATGTTAGAGGTTAGAGTAAAATCTAGGCTGATAATTATGGGGCATATTACTGTGAGAAATCTGGGAAAGGATCTTAGAAAATGCTAGCCTTTCTCCTCAAGGATATTTTTTAGGATCTTGGTGTTAATTAGAGTCCTACCTCACAATTATTTCACCATGGGAAGGCTTAGTGTAGAAAAAAATGCATGCTGAAAAACAGTAAATTCCTATTCAGAGCTGTGAGCTCTGTTCTGTTCTTGGGGAACATCTCACGTGCATGTGGTGAGAGTGGGCACCAGGGGTGCAGAAACACTGGGCAGCTTCGTCCCTGCTTGCCGTCCTGGCCTGAGGTGCAGGTCACGAGAGAAGGGCGGGGGGGGGGGGGGGGGGCCCCCCATCCGGCTTCCCCCCTCCAAGCCCCTCTCTGAAAAGACAGAGAATGAGGAAGTAAAATTTTTAATAAATACAAGAACCACTTATTTGGTATTAAACACATGTAAAGGGAAATATAGTCATAAATCTGTAGATGTTGTTGGTGCGACAGGGTAAAAAGAAAATTAACCTTTCTTAGAGCTGTTGAAATTAAGAAAACAGTGGGTAACTCACCAGTTTCTATATATGCCTGAATGTCCGTTGCCTTTGTTAAGACAAGATTTATTAAGCAAATTAGAGGCACAAATAACTTTAAAAAAAAATGAAAAAATTAAATTATTGATACCAGAATCAAAAGCCGTAGAGGCAAGGGTGTTTGTGTTACAGGATTCTTTTAAGGAGGAACAAATTCCAGAAGAGGTGGAAAACGCAGTAATCCTGCTTGGTTTAGGCAAATGAAGTTCCGGGACAGTCCAAATTGGCAGAACTGGTAAAAGTGACCTTAAAACCTGGATCCAAACCGGTAAGACAAAAATAATATCCTATTAAGTGGGAGGCACGAAAAGAATTAAAGGGGTTAATCATGAAATTTTTGGAATATAGGCTTTTGGTAGAATGCGAGTCAAAATACAACACACCTATACTACCGGTAAAGAAACCTGGAGGACGAGAATATCGACTAGTCCAGGATCTAAGAGCTATAAATCAAATAGTTCAAGATATACACCCAGTAGTGGCCAATCCCTATACTTTATTGACATCCCTGAAAGAGGAGCATAAATGGTTTACTGTACTAGATTTAAAGAATACCTTCTTTTGCATACCTCTGGATGCACAAAGTCAAAGCATATTTGCTTTTGAATGGAAGAGCCCTGCAACAGAACGAAAGATACAACTGACATGGACTATACTTCCACAAGGATTTAAAAATAGCCCCACAATATTTGGAAAACTGTTTGTCCATAAAAGACAACATCTGGTCCTTAGAGTGCTGGCACAACGTCTGGGATCCTGGAAGCAGCCAGTAGGATACCTCTCTAAACAACTTGACAACGTGAGTAAAGGATGGCCGGGATGTTTGCGCGCCGTGGCAGCGACGGTATTGCTGATTCAGGAAGCTTGAAAATTGACTATGGGCCAAAAGATGGTGGTGTATGTACCACACATGGTGGTAACTGTTCTAGAACAAAAGGGGGGTCATTGGCTGTCCCCCAGCAGAATGCTAAAATATCAGGTTGTCTTGCCAGAGCAGGATGATGTGGAACTAAAAACCACAACCATCGTAAATCCAGCAATGTTCCTGTCAACGAAAAATCCAACAGAAAATCTAGAACATGACTGCCTGCTAACTGTTGAACAAGTCTATTCCAGCAGACCGGACCTGAGGGATGAGCCTCTGGAAAATCCTGATTTCGAATTGTTCACGGATGGAAGCAGCTTTGTGAAAGAAGAAAGACGAACGGCCGGATACGCTGTTGTCACCACCACCGAGGTACTGGAGTCAGGAACGCTACCTGCAAATACCTCGGCACAGAAAGCAGAACTGGTGGCATTGAGGCAAGCCTTGCGAATGGCAGAAGAAAAAAGGGTAAATATATGGACTGACTCTAAATATGCATTTGGTGTAATTCATGCTCATGAAGCCATCTGGAAAGAAAGAGGACTGCTCTCAGCCCAAGGTTCATCGATAAAACATAAAGAAAAAATCCTTCAGCTCCTCGAAGAGGCGCAGAAACCAAAGAAAGTGGCAGTGATGCACTGCAAGGCTCATCAATTTGGTCGGACAACTATAAACATAAGTAATCGATTGGCAGACAAAACAACAAAAGAGACTGCTAAACAAAGTATCTTTGCACTAATACCAGTAAAACAAATAAAAATCCCAAATCTGAAACAAAATACAGTAAATTGGATGAACAATTGACAGAACAATTAAAGGCATCACAAAATACAGAAGAGTGGTGGGTAACACCAAAAAAGCAGATAACAATAACCCCGCAAGTCATGATAGAACTTGCGAAAAAAAACATACACAGACACATTGGGGTGTAGATGCTATAATCTCGAGCCTAAAATCATCTGCAGTGTGTGTAGGAATGACAGAAGTAATGAAATCTATAATAACTAAGTGTCCAATTTGTCTCAAAAATAATCCTTTAAATCGGAAAAGAGCACCCCTAGGAATAACAAAACAGGATAACACCCCAGAAAATTATTGACAAGTTGATTTTTCTGAACTGCCCAGGCAGAATGGATTCAAGTATCTATTAGTATTAATTAATACTTTTTCTGGATGGCCGGAAGCCTTTCCTTGTCACACCAACAAAGCGAAAAAAGTAGTTAAAATATTGTTAAAAAAAATAATACCAAGGTTTAGGGTACCAATTGGCATGTCTTCCGATAGGGGACCACATTTTGTAACAAAAATAGTTCAGCAAGTAAATAAAATTTTAAGAATAAATTAAGATTTACATACCCCCTGGAGGCCACAATCAAGTGGGAAAATTGAAAGAATAAACCAAACATTAAAAAGACAAATAAATAAAATTTGTCAAAAAGTGTCTTTAAAATGGCCACAAGCTTTACCATTAGCACTTCTGAGAATCAGAATCCAACCAAGATCTAAAGATGGTGTAAGTCCATACGAAATTTTGTATGGCAAACCTTATCAGACTCCTTTAATCCCAGGGGATATAAAAATAACAAGGGAAACAGATTTAAAAATGTATTTGGTTTCTTTAGGAAAAACACTTGAAGCACTCCGAAAATACATTGTGCTGACCAAATCGCTTGCTTTGGATACCCCTGTGCATCAGTATCAACCAGGTGATTTCATGTACATAAGAACTTGGAACTCTGAACCACTGCAAAAAAAGTGGAAAGAACCTTTTCAGGTACTGTTAACAACTTACACTGCAATCAAAGTAGAAGGGGTGGAACCGTAGATACACTACACTCGAGTGAAGAAGGCCCCTTCGTGGAGAGTCATCAATAGAGATCCAGAGACTGCAAAACTGACTTTGAAATATATCTAAAAAGAGTAGTTATTACTGTAAAATGCGAGGAGACTGTATCTCGATCTGAAAACTGATGATACTAAGAACACTGTTCAGTGTATTAGAAGTAAGAACAAAAAACGTTAATTCACTGCCAATAAAAGCAAAACAATTAATATACCTCCTAAGGAGGACTCCAGAAAAAATTTGATGATCGGGCTTATAGAAGAATTTGCAAATTTACAAAATGTGACCCAAATAACTACATGTCTTCCAATCCCAAGGGCGGTAGGAAAATCAGTCCCATGAAGAAATTCAACAAGACATGCAAGAAAATTGGCTTGATAAAATTTTTAATGGATTCAGGTGGAATATTAGTTCTTGGGTCAAATCTTTAGTCGGTACCGGACTGCTTTTACTGGTAGTAGTTTTAATAATAATACTGCTCATTTATTATTGTCTAAAAAAGGAACTCACCAACAGAACAGCTTTTAATCAAATGATTATTCAGGCTATTGCAAGAAGACAAAACCTTAGTGAGTCGGTTGTAACACTTCCACCACCCTATAGCGAAACAAGTGGACTATAAGTGTAGTGTTGTAATTTTGAAAAGTATATTTTAATAAGTATTTAATCATTATATGATCAAAAAAAATTTAATTATGGAAGTATTGAAAAAATAATTATTTCAAAACTTCCAAAGGGGGGAAATGTAACCACAGTGATGGAATTAGTTAATCATAAAGCACGAACAATACTGCTATGTCCCTTGTACAGCCCTGCCCATCTGGACATTAGGTCTGGGAACAGAGGGTTTAGTCCCTAGGTAATCATTAACGTTAAACAATAATGGTGAAGGGGATTTTTTTAGAAATAGTGCTATTAAATGACTGCAAGTGTGTATTTGTGGTACCTATCTATTGTGTGAATTAACTGAAGCAAAAAGTCATACATCTCTCCCCAAAGAAGGTAGTTTCAATTAAAACCAGCAGGTGCCTAGAACTGGTCAAGACGACCCGTGCCGCAGGGACAAGAGCCAGAAGAGGACTGAGTTTGCGCAGAAACTGTGACGAAGAGGATAAGCCTTCATCTTAGGACCCCCGACGACCACCACTAGGAGGCACTGCGCAAGCGTGGGTGGGAGGAGTGTATGAAAATGGACTGATCTGACTATGAAAGAAAGGGCTTATGTAATCAGATGAATATGTATATTTTGATCTATATAAACTGCACGGAAAGGGTATGGGGTATGCACGTTCGGCGGAATTATCCCCCGTGCATCCGACGTCGCAATAAAGAATGCCTGCCTTTTAACACTACATTGGTGTTACGAGGTTTTATTCCCGGATTTTCGGTGACAAGGGCTTTGAAGGAGGTGGCTGAGAAATTATAGAGGTGGGAAAAATTGGAAAAAGTGTTGAAATATTACAGAACAGTTGGCCAAAGGATTTGAAATTACTGCATGAGCTGAGAATATCAGCCTGGAGTGCTGGTAGCCGTTAACTAAGACACTTTTGAGCATGCTTGGGAAGAGCTCTGATGCTTCCATTGTAGCCTACTTCAGCTCACAAAGAACTCTCATAGGGCAGTCAGTTGCAGTGGCATTTTCACACATTTTTCTTTTGCGGGTGAAAGGTGTAGTTGCAAACATTTTTTTTTTTTTTGTGAAGAACAAAGAGAAAGCATAAATAATCTGTGCAAAGAAACCATTTGGTTCACTGCACCTGCACAATGCACAGAGACTGCATTTCTACAATTGTTATTAATGTTCTTCATTTGTGTACACTGGTCATTTGAAGTGCTTGTCTAAATTCATTCTTTATTTGTAATTTGCTACTAATTATTTGACTAATTTCTTCTTTTTTCCTGTCTACAAACTGTCACCGATGGATGACATTTTTCCCCAAATGTGCTTCCCAGAGAATTTATCAAATAATTTCATCAGCTCTTTAACAAGCAACTGTGAATATTGGTGCTAGGAAAACTGGCTGAATGTTCTGTCCCAGCTGTATGGTCCTAGATCCTATGCTGATGTAGAGGGTGTTTCATTAACTTCCATCACCTTTCATTCCTTTCTGTTTATCATTTTTGTTATTTCACTGGAAGAGCTCCTTGCTGAATTGGGTTTGGTATGAATGCTTGCAAGAAGTGAATTCTGTGTACGTGAATTGTGCTGCCAGTGACTTTATTCATTTAGAAATGGTGCCAGTAAATAGACTATTCAGAGAAAATAAACACAGATGCTCATAAATACAATGGCAGACTAATTTAAAATTTTGACTAGTAATAATAGAAAATTATTTTCACTGTTTTCGCAGACCTATTTGCAGTAGTAAAATAAAAATTATTTTCCTTGTTCATGATATTACGACTGGGTGGGATGTATTTTGTGTGTGTGTTCTTGGTCACTGTTAGAGAGAAACTAACAAATGTCAGGGATCTGTTTTCAGTATAGCTTGCTGTTTCTTTGAGGAAAAGCTGTAATAGCAACTATTTTAGAAGATACCCTTAAAAAGGTACAAAAAGCTTCAAATAGTTTGAGGCCCAAAAAGCACAGAAAAAAACACTTTTTAAAAAATTAATTTTAAATTTGTCTATGGCTAGACATTTAGTTCTATCAGATATTTTCTTTGTACTTATAAAAAGTAAGTTTCCTCTTCATTAGCATTTGCCTTTGGTAAAGCAATGATTTTAAAATGGCTGCTATGATATGATGTGAGTTTTGTGCTGTAACTAAACAAGCATAGGAAATATGGTAGAAAATAAATTAGTTGAAAATCATTCCAGTGTTGCTCTTTGTCTTTCGTCCTGTGCTACAGAATTATTTTCCATATATAAAGTAACTTTAGTTGTCTCAATTTAAGACAAAGGAATAGTGCCTAAAACTGCAGATCACTTGAGGCTTCTTTGGTGCTAATTAACTTACTTAGCTCAGTTGGTTAACAGTTTTTAATCACTATAAAAGCTCCTGTGGATATTTTAATTTGTTTTCATTTTAAAAGCAGAAACATATGGTTCTTCAAAAGATGTGTGGCTTTTTCTGTACTCATTTGAGAAATCATAATTTATGTTTTCATATGCAGACGTACATTTAGTTTCATAATCACTCAGTTTTAGCTTAACCCCTTGGAAACATTGACAGAGTTATTGTGCCAAGAACAGCCAGCCTTTAACTTCATTTCCTGAAGATCTTGCCTTTTTAACCTTTATCAGGGAGGAAAAAAAAAGGTATTTGCAAGTACTTCTGCCAAAATGACCCAGATAACAGTACTATCTCCTAAGCTTTCAAAATGTATTGATAAATCGTTTAAACCATAGGGCCTATCTCACTCAGAGTTTCAATGTTTGTCTTTAATAATTAGGATAACAAAAGCTAGAGGGTGGTTGGTCTGCCTTCAGACATGTTGCTTCAGGTCTTGGCCTTTCTATGCTATTCTTCACATCTTACCCCATCATCTGTATTAGAAACTGCTACTTGATCCAACTCTAAATGATTCCCAGTTTTCTCTAAAATGATTGTATTTTTTTTAGTTGAAATAGTTGATGTAGACCAACCCAGTCTTATGAGATTGCAAGCCCAGGTATCATACGTTCTTTTGTGAGTAAAAAAAGGCCACTATGAGGCAAGTAAGTGAAATCCTCCTGGGCATGATTTCGCTGTCCATTAGTCAAACTCGTAATGAACCATAAATGAGTAATTTAAAAAGCAATCTTAATATGCATGCTTTCATGAAACAGACACATGTAAAAGCATTTCTATTGCATATTCTGCCTTCAGATTAAAGACTTAACAAATTGGAATATTTATTTCCTAGTTACTCCACTGTTTCTGTGATTTCATTTCTAGCTTCCTCCTACAAGGCAAGAGCAGGAGTCTCACAGTAGTGGATATTTCTCCCTATGAATTCTATCCAATCAGGTTAATGATCAATGATCAGTGGTCACCGATGATTGTAGAGTCACATCTTGGAGTTTACTAGTGCTGACAGATAAAGAAGATTCAAAATAGGGTGTCCATGTCTCATTTACCAAGTGGTATTAATTTATCAAGTGAGAATTCCAGGTGCAAAAGCCATCTTGAAAAATGTTTTAATACATTTGGGCTAGATTTTGAAAGTTTATTATAAAAGCATGTAAAGTGCAGTTTCATCATTCGGGGTGTGTCGTTTTGATTCACTTGAGTCTCACTATTCACTAGCACTGTTACCATTCAATGTAGTTTTAGTTTGGTATAAGTTGTTGAACAAAACAAGTCAAAGAAACCTCACAGAAAATTTGTGTGGAGCACATTTTATCTCATTTGACGTGCTGCTTGAAAATGAGTGTGTTTGGTGAAATACTTCATACTAGTTAAAAACATCCCCCTCAACCTGTCCCAAGCCCCAAAACACTGCTGTAAGATAACCTGCAATATTCTGCTCCAAAATAATTCCTTCACATGGTAGAAACAGTAAGAAGGTAACCCAGAGAAGAGCACATCCTTACTAGCTTTCCCCTGAATCAATGCTGTTTGCTGTAAAATATGTAAAGAGGCATCCACAGAGTTGTTCTTCTCAGAGTCTCTGTGATAGCACTGGAGTACACCGAGACGAGCTCTCTTGAAGCTTGGTTTCAGGTGGGCTGAGGCTCTTTACTGCAGCAGCAGTACAGTATCAGATTGTGGTATATTTTCCACCTCTGCTAGAGGGATTGAGTTTTCTGTGTGCTCTGCCAATATAACCTGGCTTGCTGATACACAAGTCATTGTCATCTGGAGGAAGGAACATGTGGGGAGGAAATGGTGCCTTGGTTGTGGTTGCTCTGGAGAGCAACCACATCTATGCCCAGATACTGGGGAGAAAGGAAAGCGAGGATTTCCACCCATTGTCTTTAGAAAATGTCTTCACTGATTATGAAGGCTCTTAAGGAGAAGTCTTTTCCTGCACTTTCAATTAAAATCTAGTTTTATTGCATTTCCATTGGGGGATCACCTCAGTTCGGTCAGTATCAACCCAGTGTATGTTTCTGTTATGCCGAAAAGAGCAGAAACCTGCTCTCTACAAGCATTGCATTAGAAAATACAGCTATAACTATGGCCAAATGAGGATGTTGTGCCATGTCCTGTGACAAAATGAGTTTGAATGTCAACTCAAGAGAGTGAATGCATGTGAATGTACTGTTCATTCACTTACATTTTACAAAATTGTCTCTTTTTGTATTAGTGCTGTGAATAATACTGTCAACAGATTAGCTGCATTTGCATTGGATTTCCTTTTTGTAGCAGTCATCAAAAATGTTTCCGAGTGTTCACATTTAATCAGTATTACACTCCTGGGAATGACTACTAGTACAGTAGGATTCAAAATGACCTTTCTTGCTAATAATTATAAGAACTTCACACATCAGTAAAAATCCATATTGCCTGGGAAGTTAAGGAATAAATATATCTGAAAGAAAAAAGGCTAAACATAGCATACAGGGTATGTTTGTACAGTATTGCCATGTGAAGATGGCAGAGGATACAGAAAGGTATAGGATAGCATTGAAAAGAAAGGCCAGAGGATAGCATTGGGGCAGCCTTCTGCAGAGCCTAATAAACCTCTGATTTCA